AGGGAGGAAATTAAATTTCTTGATGTGCAAGGAATTTTAGATTGAATGGGAAGCTGCATGCCTTCACGAGGTAAATATTGAATCCGAATCATGACCAACGGTGCATCCCCATAATCCTTAACATACGTGACCAAATTAAGGAGGCTTCATGGTAAAGCACGTGAGGCCCCCTTGGATTCAACCCTTACAAATAATTATTATAGTTATTATTAATTAATTGTAACGCGTATAGTGAGTATAGAAAAAGCAGATTGGCTTTATCCACAACAACCAAAAACCAATTATATAAGCAGTGACAAGAAGAAGAAGGAATAGTCAAGAGTGGGAAAATCTCCAACATAGACACATCAATTAGTGAGATCATCTCAAAGCTTCGTTCAATGGCATCTAGGAAGAGCTTCCTTTCGAAAGTGAGTTCCATCTTTGCATCATCAAGCACCGATTTGGAGCCGAAATTCTCAGAGGGTGACTTGGAATTGGATGAAGCTGAAGTCTTGTGGAACTTGTCCAACAGCAACAACAACACAGGGATAGAGGCCAAGAAGGGGTTACGATCTGGTAAGAAGAAAGGTAAAAAATTGGAGGGTGGTGGTGGGAGAGTGAACCCTTTGGGGTCCTCATCATTGCCAGTGAATATTCCTGATTGGTCCAAGATTTTGAAGGAGGATTATAACAAGAAGAAAGAAAGTGATGAAAGGGTTGTTAGTGATGATGATGATGAGAACAACGATCGAGTACCTCCTCATGAGTATCTTGCTAGGACAAGAGGGGCTTCTCACTCTGTGCATGAAGGGAGAGGAAGGACCCTCAAAGGTAGGGACTTGCGCAGTGTCAGAAATGCAATTTGGAAGAAAATGGGGATTGAAGATTAACTAGTATAGACTATAGAGTTGCTACTGTCACAAAGATTTATGATCTGATTCCTTAACCTTTTAATTTTTGGAAATTTTGGTTTAGGTGATTCAGTCAATGAGCTACCTAGATATGTTACGTTAGGAAAGGTTTATGTAATCATATCTCATATATATGCTCTGCCTCTGCTCTTTATGGACCTTTTAGAATGAGTGGATCATGACTCTTGATTGTTGAGTTATAAGGATATGATAAGGCTCCTTCATTTGGGAAAGGATCACTCTTGCTTGTAAGTTGTAATTAACCGTTTTCAACTGCTTAAATTTATGTATATTTGTAGTTTCATGGCTATCTTATCTATACTCCTTGTTTTTTAGCGTGACATTGTTTTTTTTCCATTTATTAAAAACAAGCTTTTGGGTTTGAATGATGAAAAAGGAGTATGGTGTTGAAGAGATAAAAAGGCAAGGCACGTAATGAATGGTGCGAAGTTTTGATGGTATAATTGGGAGGTTGGGAAAGAAACGAAGTATTTGTAACGGATAATACGATGTCAGAAATGGAAGACATACGCGGGTACTAGGATGTTTGTTGCTTGTTGGTGATGCTTAACGCACCAGTTGGTGAAAAATTTATGTCTAGCAACGGTTCATAAAGAAGAAACGTTATTTACAAGTTACTTTTCTAATGAAATAAAAATGACATTTTCTATATCTTTTATATGTTTGTTATTGAAATAAAAAGTGTATCAAAATTTTAAATATTAGTTTTTGCGTATATCGATCCCTTTGTTTAAATTTTAAAAAAAAATTAAGTAAATTCTTTTAAAAAATGTATAATTCTTTTAAAAAAATAGATAAGAATTGTTTCTTTAAAAAATTTAAAAAAAAACTTATTTTAAGAAAGAAATTTAGACAAATGTATAAAAAAAATTAACAAGACCTTAACTCGGTTCTTATTGACACATGCTCCTTGTCAGATTATAACATAAATAGTGATATGCACACAATATTTTTATCATACTTCAATAATAATAATAATAATAATAATAATAATAATAAAACAAAGTGTATTAAAATGTGTGTGTACGTATGAGAATGATGAATCCTCTAACGACTTTATCAATGGCTGAGATTTTAGACTTTCAATAAGTTTTATTAATATAACGTTTTTATTATAAAGTGGGGTTTAAAAGAATGAGCGATAAAATTATTATTCTTGACCATTTCAATAGATAAAAAATTAACAGGATAGGATCTATGTGTATGTATATATTCTAAGATGTAAACAAAAATCTCTTTCTTTAGCTTTTTTATCAAATAAAAAATGTATAAGATTATACATTTAGAGCATTCTATTAGAAAATTAATAAAAGTAAGAGTTTTATAACTTAATTTCAAAAGAAATAATTATTTATTTTTATCATTCTAATAATTTTACTGTAAAAAAATGATGAATTTTCTGAAAACAAATGATTCCCAAAATTGTATTGACGTAGGGCGTAAAAATATGTTCAAAAGTAATTATAAGATTTGTCATAGAATAGTTAACAGCAGGGAGTGTTCTTAACAGAATCAATCCAAAAGAAAACTTGTAAATCGATTTAAATAAATTGAAAATTAATGAAAAATCATGTGGTTGGATTTGTTTTTTAAATTTCTTAAATTTCATGATTCAATTTGATTTTTCAATTAAAATGTCAAATCGTTCTAAATTGAATCAAATCATATATATATATATATATATATCGGCATATAATATAAAAGGTGTTTTATAAATTATAAATTACTTAAAAAGTGTTATTCTCTTTAAATATATGTAATACTATTTAACAGATATCTTATAAAATTGTAAATTATTAAGTTAAATTTTAGAATAAAAAATTATAAATTATTTAAAATGTTCAATATATATATATAATATGATAACTAAAATTGTATTAAAAAAATATTTTACTAGAATAATAAGATAAGAATTAATGTTAAATATATTAAGTGATTAAAATATTTTAATATTTGTATATTTTTAAATTTATTTTGATGTAAGATTTTAAACAACTAACATAATTTTACATATTTTTAATTGATTTTCAAATGACAAATTTTAAAAACTAAAAAATTGAAGCAAATTAAACCGTTAAAAGATTGATTTGGTTTGGTTTTATTTTATAATTCATTCAAACTAAATCAAACTAAATTGTATTTAATTTTGTTTTTGTTTGATTTGAATTATTTTTAAAATAAAAACTAAACTATATTCATCATGAACACCTCTAATTAAGAGTAATGATAAATATTTATTTAATTTTAAGAAGAAAAAAAAAAAATATATATATATATATAGAGAGAGAGAAAGAGAGAGAGAGGGTGAAAAACAAGTAAATGAATGCATTATTTTTTCTACGGATGACCTGTTGATGAGTATGATCTAAATTTTTGTATACTGGAAAAAGTCATATAAGGATCAATATAACATTTTCCATGCAGTCATTCCTACGTCACTTGTTTTCCGTATTTCTAAGTGACACTGTTTTTAATTGTACTATTTCATAGTTTTTTAATATAATAAAATCGCAAAAGAAAATAAAAAATAAACACGCATTCTGTCTCCTTTAAAATAAAGAAAATGTGAAAGGAAAAACTGAAAAGGTAGTGTGGAAGAAATGATTTTTATTCGCAAAGGACACAACTTTTACCTTTGCTTGTTGAAGTAGCTCATCGCACACAAGTCATGAGCGACTCGATATCACAAGAAATTTGTCAGTGTCGGAGGGAATAATTTAAACGCGTTTTTGTGGAGAAAATGGCACAACTGAGTACGTGTTTCTATTCACGTTCAAAATGTGAAAAATTACGTTTAACGTGACACGTTGTAACTTCTACGTTAAACATAGATTTTCATGTTTCGGACATGCAAACACGCTCTGAATCCCAAATATTCACAAGATGAATATTATCCAACTTTAATTAATTTTATATCACTTTCACAAATTACTTAAATCCATTCTTCATTTAACAATATTAACGATCGGAGATATCATATATATGGAGACCAAACGCGGTGAAAGTAAAATATATGAACAAAATCAATACTCATCTTCCGAATTAATTTTGTAAAGTTTAATTATATACTTAAATTCACATTTTATAATTATATCTTTATTATCAAATCACTTACACATATTCAAAAATTTATATCAACTACTAATTAATATTTCCAAAATATAATATATGTGAAAGACAACTTTATATTTGTTAAAGATTCTATATTGATTAGTAATAAGGTCTTAATATTGGATATAAGAAAAGGGTTATTACAATCTTTCAAACTAATTTTATAAAGTTGAGTTAAACTTATAATTCACTTTCTTAAAATAATATTAGAATCTATCATAATAATTATTATTGTAAGACTTATAAGTTCACCTACTATTAAGCCATTATTAAACTACTTACAAGTTTTAGTCCTACAAATTTTAAGAAATTTAGTTCTCAACATGAATGGAAGCGTTCAAATCTCACATCATTTAATAATAAGACCTTAATAGTATTTATAAATAAGGAACAATTATCATTTTACAAGTCACTTAGACTTATAATCCACTTTTTTTTAGCATTTAAACTCAAACTCACATTTTAATACACTTAAAATAATTGAATGAAAAAAAAAAATACTAGCAAAATATGTTCAAAAAGTATTGTTAATATTTTTATATTAAAATTAATAAAGAGAAAAAAATAATATTCATTTTCATGTTAAATTTAAAAACAAAATCTCTTGATCTAATGATCGTAAGATACGTCTTAAGATATGAAGTTAACTTGATGCTTTTATGATTGATTTCCATCAATATTAAAATAATATTTGATTAGAAGAAGTGACATCTTATAAATTTGTATTAGTTTTTAATTGTCAATTTTAAATATTATATTGTCTATAAAATAAATATATTAAAATTTAATCCGATAAAAAAAAAAATCAGTAGAATTCTTTTAGGCCGATAACAGAGCACTTTTTAATTTGCTCCTACATTTAAGTCATTTTAAAAGTGATTGATGATGTTTCAATGTAAGTCCGATATTGATGACGTTTAAAAAGGAATTACTAATAAAAAGTGTTGAAAAATGTTTTTAGCATATTTACATTAAGGATGATCGGAGGGAAAATTCATTATTCATTAACATATTTAAGTTAAATCGGAGAAGAAATCGATCATAGATTTATGGTTGGTAATAGATCACTTTTTAATTTGCTCCTACATTTAAGTCTTTTAAAAGTGATTGATGATGTATCAATGTAAGTTCGATATTGATTTTGCAGTCAAGTGGTAGAATAGCTTGTAAATATCAAAGTCTAACATATATAGTTTGGAAGATTATCGTGTTTCTAAATTAGAATCTAATTCCTCATTGCATGTGCAAAAAAACAACTCATTTTCGGAGGCATTATTATTCCCAAGTAAACCAAAAAAGAAAGACATCTAAAGTCTGATAATCAATACGAATTAATTATATCCCTTAACAAACAATAAATCGATCAAAGTCAAGTTTTTATTAAATGTTGACATGATCCTGGTGCCAAATAGATAAATAATTCTTGACTTGTTCATAAATGTTTGCCAAGTGGAATACTAAATCAATTTAATACTTTTAAAATAATTTTTCCCATGATTATCACATGTCTTCAAACTCTAGTTTCACACTCATCATCGTTTGCTTGGTGCTTTCCCATGTTATTACAACTATGCTAATGAGTCTCTTTCATTTTCCACTAGCGTTGGGAAGATGTAAGTTATCATATATGTGACCTAGCTAGTTTATTATCACTTTCGTAGGTAGTTTGGACCCAAACGTTCGAGTGCATATATAAGTGGCGGGTTCAGAAAGTATAGTGGCTAAGGTGGAAAAGTGGCTTAGATGATGACCAGTTTTGATAGTGAAATATGAAATAATGAGTATGAGAACGTGAATTTGAACATAATATAATACTATAAAATCAATTTTTAAGATGAAAATTATTTCTCATTTATATGTTTTATTTATCTTATTTTTAGTTAATATAGAATTTCATTTATTTTTAATACATACATATTTTTATGTTTTATATTATTAGAATCGATATTTAGATAATTGGCGAGTGACAATTTTTTGATAAATTTATAAAATTTATTTTTCAAATAAAGATTATTTTTTACTAATATGTTTTATTTCTTCTACTTTATCTCTAACTAATGTGCAATTAATTTTTTTTTTCTAATAACGGGCTATTTTTTTTTTTTCTTGGATCGTGCAGTAGGGATTTTAATTTATTAAGAAGATTTAACAAATGATGGGTTGATTGCTCCTTTTGCC